TAAATAATTATGTCATAAAATAAGTTAAAAATAGAAATGATGTAATGTGTAACATGACGCAGTATGTGGCGTAGTTGGTACACAAAATATTAAGATAAAAATAGAAAATGATGTCATTATCACGTGGCTGCCGCAGTAAGTTGGTTCCGATTGGTCGGCATGCTCGGGACTTCTTCAGTCCTTATTTACAATCTCACAGTATTAAATATTTATGGAAATTAAACAATTACCACTATCCCATATATAATCCAGGTCTAGAGGTTGGAATCGTCCAAAAAATCCTTAGTCGACTACTAGTTGGTCAAAATTTCTTTTAGTTGACTAAATTTTTTTAATACTAGTGTGTAACAATTTGCTTCGCAAAATGGTCACACTAGTCACAGGAATAACATCCTATTTAATTAGAATATTCATTCTGTTATTATTAATGTTTTTTTTAATTTGCAGATTACAAATTCATCTCCATTTGAATCTTTAATTTTCTTGAAATACTTCCATACGAAGCTATATGTTATAATTCGTTTTTTTAAAGGTCTGGAGCCACTGCTTGAGCTCGAAGCCAACGAATTGTTGGAATGATTTGACCTTGTATCAATGTTTATTATTTCACATAGATAATTATCACCAACACCAGCACCAACACCACCATTATCATCTTCTTCATAATATTGATACTCCACATATTTATTTTTATTATTAAAATTTTTTGTACCACAAAAAACGTTTTCATTTATAATTGGCCAGACAATAATAATAATTAGTATTAGTTGACTAAATAGTCGACTAAAATAGTTGACTAAATAATCAACTAAAATAGTTGACTAAATAAACAACTAAAGTAGTCGACTATTAGTTGTTTAAAAAAAAAGTTAGTCGACTATTTTAGTCGATTCCAACCTCTATCCAGGTCATCTGTTCAGCAGATTCTATGGTTATCTACTGAATCTGATGGAACAGATTAATTTTTAGAGGTAATGAATGAACAGATGATGGATATCTGCAGATCACATCTAAAGTTGCTTGCTGGAACCTCTTGACTACTGAAACTCTACCAATTGCCAAAAACTCCAAATGCAAAACTCTAACAATTAGCTTGTAACCTGCTGGAACTCTGCCAATTGATTTCTAAAGGAGTTTTTGCAAGCAGCCATAACCACATCATTACAACACTAGCTGTTTACATATAAAATTTTTCAAATCAGAAACATATAATTTTGGCTCAAATTATCATGCACATACCAAAAATTTGTCAATTCTGGCTATGTTACATGATTGTACAATCTATAAAAACTAAAACATAATGATTTAAAATTCATTTGAAATCATGTAACAAATTTGCAGCTGCTAATATAAAAATAACAATAATTTGGGTTATCCTGGTTAATTTATTTTCTTGTGGAGCAAATTAATTATGTATCTTTATCATAAAATAATAATAATAAAACAAATTTTTCCAATATTTTATTAATCCTCAGCCACATACAAATATATATTTGAATTAGAAAAAACTTACTAATATTCCCATAATTAATATATGTTTTTTGTAGCTCTATATGTATATATTTGTTTATTTAAAACAATTAATTTTTTTTTTAAAAAAAAAGTATAAAAGATTTACCTTTTTTCATTGTCTTTTTCCAATGCTAATTTAATTTGTTCTGCAAGCCAATTTACTTTTGTAGTTGCAATCTTTGTGCAATATTTAATTGTTTCTATTTCCAATGCTACGCCACCTGCTTTTGACAGTGCAAAGATTTCTTTATGATCATTTAATGTAATAGTCATATCACCTGATTTGGTTTGTTCTTCTTGAAGTGTAGGATCTACCACAAAATGTTCACTTTAGAGATAATATGTATATGTATACATGATATATTAATGATTAAAGAGTCTCCTTGAAAAATTTCAAAGTTTCAATTATATGTTTATAAAATAAATAATTATTACCCATTTTCAAAAAAAGCAAATGTCACACATATTGGCATGTGATGCACACTTAATGGAACAGGATTCCTTTTCTCAATGGGATGCTATAAAGTATTATAGTTATTATAATATATATATAACTAATAGAAAAAATATAATATGTAGAGAAAATACTCACTATTGTAACATCTTGTCCAATAACAGTAACATCAGGTCTTCGAAAGTGTGAAAGTGCTGATATTGCAGCAATACATGCTGCATCAATTATATTTCCATCATTATCAATAAAATGTATATCAACTCGTATTGTCCATACCTGATTGCATCAAAAAAATTATCCTTTATATATTAAATGATTAAATCTAATTTGATCTTTTATTTTATTAAAAAAAATCAACTTGCTTTCTCTCCAGCTAAAATACACAACCCTTCAGTATCAATAGCTCTACTTCTTTTTATAGCCTTTTCCAATATACGATTCACAAGAACTTCCTCAGGTCTATTATTACAATAAAGAGATGGTATTTTTTTAAAAAAAAACTTTGTTAAAAAACAAAAACAAAAACTTAACCCCTACCTTCCAATTTCAAAATTAGGAAAAGCCATTTGTGATAATTCACTATTTAAAATCAATATACCTTCACTAGGTCGATCCTGGTATGGTCGTGTTACTTGACATGAGACTTTTGCCAGTACTCTAACCATATAATATAAAAACTCTTAAATAAAAAAAAATTTTTTCTGTATACCTTTATATGTTTATACAAATACCTAGTTGATCCTAATGTGACCTCACTTTTACCAAATTCTTGACCAAATGATATGTTTAATTTTCTAAAGTCAGATTTCCTTCGATTGTCAATTCGATAACCTTCTATTATAGCTTTTAGTATAAATTGTCTTTCATTGTTTGATATTTCAAGTTCTTTAACCATTTTAAAGTATTTATTTGATTGATAGATTTGATGGATTCAATCCAATCAAATTTTATTTATAATTTTCTGTATTACTTTCTTTAAAAGGCTAAAATCAAATGTGAATAGTAACAAACAAATGAGTTTTTAATCAAAAATTACTCTTTTTCCCCATCTTTACAGTATAAAATACAATTTGTGTATAATTATTTTTTAATTTTATTTAAAAAAAAATGGTAAATGCTTTTCAAGTAAAAGTTGAAATGTCACAGATGTTGCAAAAATGGTTGGAGCCACGGATTGCTGAAAAAATAGATAAAGGATTGAGTTATGAACAAGCCTGGGGAGAAATCATTAAAGAAATTTCTATAAATGCATTATCGACACTTCCACTAAACACATTTGCTACTGCAATATCAAATTTAAATCAGATGAATGTTGCAAGTCGAATAAAATTAATCGAAAAAATACTTAGTATAACACCTCATCCTGAACATGCATCTGGGGAAACAATTAATAGGATCAGTGCAGTTTTAGTCTCGATATTATTACCAAATAACAATCTTAATGGAAAGCCTTCAAGTATTAATGTTGATCCAAATTTTATGAAAATAGCAAAATCAATTTTAACGCAGTCACATAATGATTGGATAGATGCATGCGATGTTCTTTCAAATTTCTTAAATAGCTGTTTGGCCAGCTACAATTTTGAAAGGAATGTATACATATTATATCCATTCTTAAAAGATGTCGTAAAGTTTGTAAAAAGTCTTGACAACAATCAAAAAACTGGAATGGATCAATTTTTTATGTGTCTGCAAAAAATCACTGTCGAGTCAGGATACAAATTAAAAGATTTAATACAAATAAATGTGCCTTATCAACAAAAAGTTTTTAGTGAAAATTTTTTGAAGGACTATATTCCAAAATGTGTACCATTGACATTATTTCACAGCTCAAAAAGAAATATAAATTGTGATATACAAAGGACTTGTCAAAAAAACAATAAAAAATCATTACAAAGACCTCGCTGGCATAACCAACAACAATTGATTCTTAAAATTTTACAAAATGCTCCAAATTATTCAATGTCACATAATGAGTTGATTGATGCATCAATTGCTTTAGATGAAAGGTTAAGTGCCGAAACAGGACTACCAAGAGTTTTTGGTGGTCAGGTGATTTATCACGCATTTATAATTGATTTTTTATTGGATGACAGCATTATTTCATATTGATTATATTAACACTTTTTTCAAATATATATTTGTTAGGCGCCAAAAGTTTCAGTTAGTGCTTGTTTGACACACAATTCAGAAAAATATTTTAAAGAATTTACTATTCCTCATTCAAAAGATATATATTATAAATTAGCATTCATACCCAATGATGTTGAAGAAGCTGTTAATAAATATAATAATTGGATGGAAGAATTGATACGACATGATTGGCCTTTATGTTTTGGTAAATTAAAAAAAACCAAACAAGGTTCTGCATTAGTAAATAGTGGATGTGTTATTATGCTGAGTGTGGGAGCAGCCACACAAACAAATTTGAGATGTCGACAATGTCCAGCAGATACAGTTTGTGATGCTAAATTGCCATTATGCTCAAAATGCCGGGCAAAAAGAACTTTGTGCATCTATCCATTACGAAAAGTTGAGCATTCTCATCATACTATTACCAAACTCAAACAAAATACTTCAAACAAAAAGCACCAAACCAGAACATCAAAAAGTATTTATGACAATGATGAGGATTCGCTTGACATTGAAAAAATTCCTGCTGCTACGGATGAGGAACTCATGAGTGGATTGGACCTGACTAATGTACCAAAAAGTTTATCTGATGTGGTTGAAGTTAAAGAGTCTACCATTTTAAATGCTGGTAATGGATTATTTGCCAAAAGAAATCTTCCAACATCAACACCTTTAGGATTTTATTTTGGTATTCCAATGAGTGAAGATGAATTTGATCAACATAAAGATGAAGTAGGCAGATCATCACATTATTCAATGAGATATAAGAAGACAATACTTGATGCAACTGATGATAATGGCGAGCCATTCACTAATCCACAAGGAAAAATTTTTTGTCCTTTCCATTTTATGAATGAAGATCCATTTGGTAATATGGTGTTTATTGAAGGAAGCACTGTCAACCAAGTTATATGTTTGACAAAACGTGAAATTAAAAAAGGAGAAGAGCTTTTTGTATATTATGGTGGTGAGGTTGACAGAGAGCATTGGGGCCGGGCTGTAATAAATGGTGATTATAGTCGAAATAATTTTGATAGTGAGAGTGAGGTGATTCAGTTTGATGATATGTTTGATGATGATGATTTTGATGTTATGGATATTGATGATGATAATGAAGAAATGGTATCAGAAAATTCTGAAGAAAACCAAGAAACAGAAGAAAAAATGGATATAAGCGATGATGATACCGTGGAATCACCAACAATGCCAAATAATAAAAATAAAAGAAATAAAAGAGATGATGATGATTATAAATATAATGTAAGCAAAAAATCAAAGGATAAAGTAAAGAATGATTATGACAATAATAGATCATCAACATTTCAAGATAACAACAATGATGAAAGTGACAATAGTAATTGTAATAATGATATTAGTAAAAACAGTAATTATAAAGGAACTACTAAACGTAAAACAATGAATTCTATTGATGATGATTCAAAACCGGAAGTTAAAACAGGTGATGATAACCGAAACAATGAAAATAATTCAAATGGACATCAAGATGCTGATAATCAAGAAGGTGATCAACCAATTTTCAAAACAAGAAGAAGGGTTTTAAGAAGTAGTAAAGAAATTATAATACGTGTTCAAAAATCACCAACTAGATAAAAAACTTTTAAGTAGGTTTTTTTATATATGTATCTTTTATTTTATTATTAACGGTTTCCTTATAATAATTTATAAAAAGAAAATCGGTATTTTTTTTTTAAATAAATAAAAAAAAAAATTTAATTTATTCATTCTATACATTTGTAAATTTTATTTATAAATCATAGGCATGTATGGGACCTTATAAAATAAAAAATAAAGCAAGACCAGGAAAATTAATATATTTGATTACCTCATACTTTCAAAAAATCGATTCCCCTATACGTTGTGGTTGTGTATGAAAGCGTTTTTTTTACTATGAAGCACCTTTTGTATTATAAGTAATGAGATTTTCATATTTTTTTAATTTTTCTTCTAATTCTGCAACTTTTTTCTTTAAAATTTCATTTTCTTGTGTTACCATTTCTAATTTATGTGTACTTTCAACAAGTCTAAGTTGTATTTTAGAATGCTCTTCCTAAATTAAAAAAAAATAGTAATTTAAATTAGAGGAATAAATGATGATCATAAATTATTGTAATTATTATTATTATTAATTAACTACTTGATTTGAATCTGACAATAATTCAAAATCTAGAATTTGTTTTGCACTTGGTCTCTTATCGGGATCTTCTGCCATCATCCATAAAATGAATGCTGCCTATAAATAAACATTTTTAAAAAATATACAATATAATAAAAACAAAATAACAATAATAAATATGTATATGAACCTCTTTTGGGAATCTTTTAACAAACCCTTTAGGTAATATTCCATTTCTTAGATTTTTAATAACTTGAGCACGTTCATGCCCTGTGGAAAATGAAAAATGCAATTCAAAGAATATGATTCCTAATGAATAGATGTCAACCTTTTCATTGTAAGGTTGTGGGGGCCTTGCAAGTTGTTCAGGTGAAGCGTACTATTAATAATAGTAATAAAGTTTTAAAATTTCAAAATAAGAATATAATAAAAATATATATATATAAATGAAATTTAATTTACAGTTATAGTGCCAACACCAGTAGTTCTAGATTTTGAAGAATAAGAAGAAGAATAAGCTGATTTTGTTTGGCTATTATTATTGTTGTAGTTATTTTTGTTATTAATTTTTAAACCATGATCACTTTCTACGCATCCTTTTAATCCTCTATTTATTGAATTATCAATTGTTGAGTAGGTGTGATCGCCATCTACTGCAGTTACTAATCCAAAATCGCCGATTTTTGGTACTACTCGTTCATTAGAAAAAGATAATAAATTATTGGCAACAACCAAATTATCTTGCCCACCATCTGCAAGGCCACCAATAAATATGTTTCCGGGTTTGAGATCTCGATGAATCAACCCTTGATCGTGAATGTATGCAACCCCACGTACTATGCCTCTAAATAAATCGATTATGATGTTATGATCAACGGAGCTTAACAGATCAGTTGTTGGCGCCAATATATTGGAATCACGTTTTTTTAAATAATCGCGCAATGTACTATTACATAACTGCATTTGAATGAAAAGCACCCAATCTTTCTCAAGATTCAAAGATTCAACATCTTTTGGAATATGAGAATGACTTATTTTATCGGCTTTAAAAGTATCATAGTTTTGGGAAAGTCTGTTATTATTTTTTTTATTATAAATATAGTTGGTGTTGGTGGTGTGAGTAGGAGTGTTATTAAAATCACTATTTAATTTTCCAGCCGCAGAAATATCATCAACAAAATCAATTCCATCATCATCAGAAAAAGACATTCTAAAAATATCAGAACTATCTTGGTTTGAATTGATACTAGACTCGTTATCAGAATGATATCCATTTGAACTTTCAACACGCGAAGAATTTTCTTCGGAATTTAACAATAATGATGTCTCATCTTCGTTACTACGTTGTTTACTACTGATATGTTCGAGCCATGAACTATAATAACGCACAACATTTGTATGTTCTAATCTTGCAAGGATTTTAATCTCACGAAATATCTACAATATTTTATGATGATAATAAATAATACTTATTATTATTATTATTATTTTGATATTGTTTTATAAAAGAAAAAGGCATCACCTTTTCTTTTTCTTCAGGAATTTTATCACCTCTTAATCTGATTTTTTTAATGGCATATTCTCTACCATCTAATTTATTTTTAGCCTATATGTATATCGAAATATTGAACCAATTAAAAATCTCTTTTTTTTTAAAAAGAAATTATTATTATTATTATTACCTTCCAAACACTTGCAAATCCACCTTTACCTAATAATTTAAGTTCAATGAAATCATTGGAGTAACGACTATTCTCAAGGTCCAAAATATCACCGAACGAAAGATTTTTTAAAACTTTTGAGTTTGAGTTATCTTTTTTTGTTTTTGCAGAATAACTATTTTTGGGGTGAAGGATATTAAAAAAAGAAAGTAAATTTTGCAAATTAAAATATTGTAAATGCATTGATATAATATTATCATTATCTAAATATCATAATTTATCACCAAATACATACGGAAGTTTATTATCATGAGGAGAATGTCTATCGGGCTTATCTAAATCAGTTTCTGGACAAGAAGGCATAAGTAAACGAGATTCCTTCATTAAACGTTCTTGTTTAATTGAATTAAGAGCTTGTATGACCAAAGCTTTGAAAGCACGTTGATAAGAGGAGCGAACGGTAGACATCTCATCAATGTGCTTCAGGAATTTAATAAGGTGTTAAACATGACATAATTCATTTTTTTAAAACTATAATGAGAATACTGGCATCTTTTTATATTTATATGTATAAAACAAAAATTTCTTTTTTAAATAAAAATGTCGTATATTTTACTAACCTCTTCTTCAATTATACCCATAGTACTTAAATTTTTACATATAAGATAAAATAGTTCATGATTTCTTTCTGGATTTGTATCATATAATAAACAAAAGTTTTCTAGTAATGATACCAATAGCAGTCTTCCTATTATTTTAAATTTACCGCGTTTTTTATTTTGTTGAGCGATTTAATTTTTTATTAAAATAAAAATAAAATAATCATTATAAAATACATAATACCTTGACGTCTTTTATTTTCCAATGGATCATCATATTTACGAACGTTACGTGTTGTTAATTGTAGCGAGTTAGAGGGAGGATCTAAAGTAACTACGATATAAAATAAATAAATACTTAGTAATTGATAAAAAATACACGCGTGTGTAAAAATAACATAGTAATTAAAGAAACACAACACCGTCAAACTCATCGACTTGATTATTGAATAATAAAGGAGCGTCATTATCCAACAACGATATATCCAATGAACCTACAATTTGAACAAGACCTCTTGAACTTAGTTTTAATTCTTCCTCACTTTCATCTTCTGTAGTAGTTTCATTAATACTTTTTTGTTTTAAACCTTCTATTGAAGATTCTTCGGAACTATAGACACTTGTAAAAAATTTACTTTTATAAGGTTCAATATCAATGGGACTCTTGTTATTAATAAGTGACCGTGTTTTAGGAGTCATGGAGAATATTTAGTAAAGAGTGACATGGTATTTTTCTATGTTGAGATTAATAATTATATACCAAATACAATAAAAAGAAAGTGGGAGATTTTTTAAAAAAAACTATTTAATGTTGCAAATATATTCTCTGCTTTTTTTTGAAAAATAAAAAATTTCCTGTCCAATAAATAAAAATATCTATTAAAAAAAAACGAAACAAGCAATTACAATAAAAGAATGAGTCAATAAAAGGTCAAGTTACCTTTTAAAACAGGTATACTATCTATCAAATGATAATTTATTATTCAAAAGGAATTCGTTTAAATGATAAAAATAATTTTGAGTTTTATTTATTTGGTCAAATGATACTTTGTGGAAGAGGTTATTTCTGTTACACGATTGGTTTATCATTATTGTACAATGGGGTGCGCGACATTCTAAGAAAATCAAAACTAATATTGATTGGTTATATATATGTTTTTTTTTGTGATCTGCAGCTGATCACATTCCTTGGTGGGATACCACGCACGTTGGGGTGTTACACATCAGTATAAATTGATAAACACAAATATGGTGAAGTCTATGGTACAGGACACCTAGTCCCTACAACTTTCTGCGCCACGGCGACAGATTTGGGAAAAAATTCACAATCAAAAATGCAATAAAATTTTTACAGTCACGTGTTTTAAAAATAGGTTTGTCACGTTGCATTCTCTTTATTAGTGTCACGTGACAAAAGATCCGCAATACAGATTTCAAAATTTTCAATTCTTCCAATTCATTCATTTTTAACATAAAAAATTTGTGTGTAACACGTCACTTTGGGGGATTAACATAGTAAATTTGTTAAAATTGTGCAACTTTAAGGCTTAATTCCTCCACAACAACATGGCATATCAACAAAATGAAAATGTCATTTTGTAGAAAAAGGTCTTAGCTTCAAAATGTCATCTTGTTTTTTTGGTCACACATTTCCATTTTTGGAGGAGTTAAAGGATTTGCAAGACTAATAAAAGTTGTAGGGACTAGGTGTCCTGCACTATATATTCCAGATCATTTTTAGTGACTATAGATGTGTTTCCATTATTATCCTGTGTTCCCCATACTTTAAATGTGGTTGTCCATCAGTGGATCAGTGGTCACTGGAGTCCATGTATTAAATGAATTTGTATTTATTGAATAGACCAAGGATACATAAGCTGTAGGACTAGATATAGTGCATCAACATGAAATGGTGTTTGCAATTTTAAGTTGCTTGGAGAAATAATTCTGACCTTAATTTTAAAAATTTTTTTTTTGAAAATTCCATGATAAATAATGTTTGTAAGTTTCTTCATTATTTACTTTTTTTCAAAAAAAAAAGGGGGAGAATAATAAATATTTAATATTAAAATATGAGACATTCAGGAAATCCCTAATTATTGAAAGTTGGGAAACTTGTTCACACACCCCTACTCCCAAGTAAATACAATGGAGCTTATTTACAATTTAGGATTGATGAATTTGGCCATAACTTTATGTTCTTCCTCGCAATGGTGCATAATGAGAAACTAGTTTCACATGGTACTTTCCTTCAAGAGGTATAGTCAAATGTGCAATTTTAAATATGTCACATTGGAAATTATTCCATTGATAAAATTCAACAACTAATTTTCATCATGAAAAAATTATGAATTGATTCTTTGAAGGACCAGGATAATCTCTTGAACAAACTATTACGAAAATAAAAAAATAAACTTTATATTGGATAAGATTTTGTTTTTTTGAATAACTTAAAATTAAGAATATTTTAATTATTTTAATTATTTGAAATAAAATAAAATAAGAAAAATAAAAAAAGATCTTATATTTCATATTTTAGAATTTAATGTGGAAACCAAGTTGTGAATTGATAAATTTTATTGACCTTTTCACCAGATGGGAGAATTACTTCATGAGTAATTATTTTAGAGCTTGTGGAATTGGATATAATAGTAGTATTATTGTCATTAATTGTAATTAGCTGGTCATTCTGAACATTATCATTAACATTAACATTATTATTATTATTGTTTTTCAAAATTTCAATATTATTATTATCAAGGATGTCTTTATAGCTAGTATCTACTACAGCTTCAGTATTACTATCATTGTTGGTGTATTTGTAACTATCATCATTGTTTGAAATGATTTCAATATTACTAGTATTAAATTCATTTTTATTTTTATTTTCATTTTCATTATGAGCTTGTTGATTTAATTCTCTGTTTTTTTCATCATCACTAACAACATTATCAACCATCTCATTGGATTTCTTTTTTCTTCTATATAAAATAAATATAGAAATAAAAGCAACAATGAAGATTGCACCAAATATTGATCCAATAAGTATACCATTAGTTTGTTGATTAGCAGCAACACTGGTGGTTGTTGTAGTTGTTGAAGGATTAGCACTGGTGGTGGTTGTAGTTGTTGAAGGATTAGCACTGGTGGTGGTTGGCTTACTAAAAGTGCTAGGAATGATTTTAGCTGTTGAAGGATCAAATGTGTCCAGCCATCTATAATTATACTTGTCACTAATATCTAATAACAAAATATTTTGATAAGTAGCATTGGTAACCCAACCTATTATTATTATTGAATATAGATAAAATTAATATAAATAAATAATATATTTATGTATGAATTTTAAAAATTATCATCATAAGTTACCAAATGATATTATCATGTAATTTTTATATAAATTTGAAGTATGGTATCTATGTTCTTGATTGATCAGATTAACAGGATAATTAGTAATATTTGTTGGAACTGTCCATTGGAAAGGAGATTTTGTTACATCCAATATTGCTAATTTGTCTGAATTTTTAGTACCACCATAAATAATTATCCTTCCATCAGGTGCTAAAATAAATAAATATAAATTAAAAAAATATAATTGAATAATTAATCATAAAATTAATTAAATTACTTAATACTGAAGAATATCCAAATCGCCTAGAAGATATATCACCAATTGTTGTCTAATGCAAAAAAAATATTTATTAATATCTTTTTTAGTTGAAAATATTATTACTGATGACTATATAACTTACAATATTATTAGACCATGAATTTTGATTAATATTATATAAATATATCTAAACATAATATGTATTATTAGAAAATATAATATTCCAATTCCTTTTATTTTAATTAAATAATAAAAGAATGAATTATAATATTACTCTAGTTGTATAAAGATCAAGGTAAATTATATTCTCATCAATCAACACATGACAATTGAAATAATATGGGTTTAATGTATATAAACTATTATTATTACTTGGTGTTAAGGTTGTAAATATCAACTTTTTGGCATTGAATTTATATATATGTGGTCCAAAATCAGTGAATATATATGTGTTTCCATTATTATCCTGTGTATACCTTGTTGTACCAATTTCATATAAATGTGGTAGTCCATCAAGGGTCATTTGAGTCCATGCATCAAATGAATTTGTATTTATTGAATAAACTATAGGTTCATAAACTGTAGCGGGTGTTACATCACGAATTCCACCTATAACATAAAGTGTGTCATTATTAGCTCCCCCCAATGCTAATGATGCCTCACTAAATAGAGGTATTGCTGACTTTGGAGCAATTAGTTTTATTGGTAATGTTTGATTAAGTGAAAATGATGTGGATAAATTTAGGTAAATTGTTTGGTTTGTATAATATTTCGGTGTATCTCCACCAAAATAATAAAGTTTATCATTTAACACTATTGAACTTTGTCCATATATATCTAATAATTGACCAGAAACAAAAAAATTTAAACTATCTAATAAAAATAAATTGAAAATTATTATTAATATATTTAATGATTTTAAATAGTTATGATGACGACTCATTAAATTATCCATTTTTTTTAAAAAAAAATTTTATATATTAAAATAAACCTTCAAAGTATACTATATATATATATTATTCAAATTAAAAAAAATTTATTGGAATTATTCGTTCTTATTTCTTTAACAATATAAACAATAATTAAATTTGTAATCTATATTACACTATGGTTTCTGGTACTATCTACGGTTTAAAAAAGGAAAGAAAATGTCAGCTACTATTATTTATTATTATTATCGTTATATTCAAGGATTAAATTGATAAAGAAAATTTTTTTTATTGGATTGAAGCGGTGCGCATATTAAGTATCTTATTTTATTATTATTCGAATTCGTTCGAATAAACTTTCAATGTAATTCGAACACAAATTCATAACGAATAGAACGAATATTTGAATAAACCTTATCCCAATATAGAAATAAAAATTAATTTGTAGTACGTGACCGATCTTTTTGATTTCAATCTCATATTACATATTTAGATACGGTGCAGATCATCTATAATCATTAATTGCTTATAGTAACAATTGGTCAACTTCAAAATACTAAAACAAAAAA